TGCAGATAAGAGAATTTCCCAAGTGTCCCTCCAAGAAAATGGTTGGTACACGCCTTGTGGTCAATTACGGGGTGTTCGAGTCTGCCCCTAGACTGCCACATTCTCAGCTGGAATTTGACAGTTTGGAAAGAAAAACGTCAAAATGGCAACAGCCATATTATTATGGGAGAGGGGTGGGGACATGGGGTTATGCATATTCCCCTGCTCTATGTTCCAAATTAGCTGATGTAGCTTTTATTTTTTTTACAACAGTACATAAGTGCCCTGATTACTTGAGGTCAAGTCACGGGATGCAGTCTTCAGAAAACGCCACCGGCCGCGTCCCCTTCGCACCTCCGGCTCCTGTGGAAGGGCAGGGCCGGGAAACGCCCAGCGGTGGGGACAGGGACTGTGGGCCAGGCAGGCTGCTTCCATCACGACTGGTCCTGGGACCCGAGGCCCATTAGCTACCATCTCAGGCCTCCGTGTCTCCCAGGTGAATGAGTACCAAGTGCTCCCCGTCCCGGGCCGCGGTGAAGAGCACGGCCGACCTGTGGAGCACTGGTGCTTGGCTCGCAGTAAGGGCTCCACGAAGGTTAGCGGCAGCTGGGTGACCACGGCTCCCGATTAGACTTACAGGCAGTCAGCGGCCCAGGGCCAGGCGCCGTCTGTCACAGGCAGCGGTCTAATCGCAACCAGGGGGCATTGAGCTCCCCCTCCGTGCAGCCCCGTCTCTGCAGACTCTCGTGAGGCAGGGTGTCTGGGACTCAAGCTGCAACTGAAACTCAAATTACTAAGTCGTGAAGGGAAGGGGGTCTCGGGGTAAGCGGAAGGGGAAACAACGCGCTCCTGGGGTGACGGGAAGCCACGAGGGCCCAGAAAGCGGCTGGATTTGTTGTGAACCCAATGACCACTGCTTGGCGCTTTCTCCGGCAAGCCAGGGGCAGGGAAGCCTCATCGGTAGACCTCACCGAGGCTAGAAAAACGGTCCAGGCCACAGGAAGTCAGGCTAAGGATGACGGCAAACAGGGTAAGAGTGTGGGATTGGCCAACACACGGATCAACCGGTAACCAAGACAGAAGAGCCACCTGCGGCGCTCCTTTAAATTCACAAGCTCACCCCCCAGAGACCCTCAGGCCGGAGGCGGGGCCAGGTAACTGCCCCCAGGCTAACAGGAGCTTGACAGTGTCCGTTGGAATAAACAAGATGAGTGACTAAAAAACTGATTACATCTGAGAGAAATTTCATGAACATGAAACAGGCTTAAGTGAAAATAGGTTCAAAGTACCCAAAAGTCACTGGAATCGGGGGGTGGGGGAGGGTGGTTACCATAAAACCTCAAGGCCCGTGACAAGGTTAAGACCCAAATCGAGTCATGTGACCTCCTTTGACAGTGTGGAGCAATGGCTCTCAAACCTGGCTGGGCACTGGGACACCTGGGGAGCTTTTCCCTCTCCTGATAACGGGTCCAACTTCCAGTCGATTAAAACCAATGCAGAGAATGAGGTTCCGGTCCAGGATCGTGTAAAGCTCCCCGGGTGATTCCACTGAGCAACCAAGTGCAAGGGGCACAGGGTTGGAGAGGTTCCAGGAAATCAGCAAGGGGCCGGAATGAGGAAAAACGTAAGACAATCTAAGTTCCTGGCTCTCAGACTCTGGTGTGAGCCAGGGTCACCTGGAAGGCAGGTGTGGCTCCATGACAGACCAAAGGGGCGGGCCCCCGACGGGTCCACTACGTTCCCCGCGTGACTGTGACACACGCCGAAGTTCCAGGACCATCACTGTCACGTGACCGGGCATACGCCAGAGGAGAAACTGAACACCCCCACAGCAGTGACTTGAGCCGCCCAGGCCTACCCTCCCCGCCTGCAGAACACACACTAAGGAGAGGACCAACGAGCCCGTCAAAGGTCCGGCAGGAGGCGTCACACACAGAATACTTGTGGCGCGGCCATCCTGCTGACACCCCGGTCCGGCTGCTGGGCTGCATCAAGAGAGCCTGCGTTGCCATCCGCCTTTCAGAACTAAAGTCGTGGAATCTAGAAAAGTCTCTCTCTCTCACACTCACTCTCACACTCACTCTCACACACACACACCCCAATAAGCAGAGTATATAAGGCAGAAACCCTCTTTCCATGTAAAACCTCAGGACCATTAAAGTCCAGGTAGACCATCTGAGCCAGGTGTTTCTAACAGGCCTATGACTTGCTCTGCTCCTGGCTTAAGCTCTGTAACTACATGTAACTGTTACTGGTCCATGTTACACTTTCCTCCCAAAATGCCCAGGCCAAGCTAGCCACATGGAACACCCACCGGGAGAAGAAAACACAGAGAAATGAAGAACTGCTCCACTGGCTCCGACACAGTGGTAAGGATCCCGTGCAGAATGTCACGCTGTACCTGGTAAGATTCGAGACAATACACCCTGCCCACATGACCACCTCATCATCCCATTAGAAGTCTCTACTGCAGCACCAGAATTTTCATTTTCAAGATACATGAGCTTTTGTCAAATGGTGACATCTCTCCTGTAATATGAATTTTCAATAGGATATAAAAAAATGATGGATATATTACACATTTCACAGAGCACAGAGAACAGAAACCTGTCGATGCATTTAAAATTTGTGACAACCTATTTGAAATGTTACACAAAAAGATCTGTACACTTTATAAACCATATAAATGTAAAACAGGGGCCGGTGTTTTTACTGGCGACAAGGGATAAAACAGTCCTCCCTAACCAAGTTTGAGCATTGCCTTAGTACGTGTTTTTTCTTTAATTAACATACGTTCATTACCGTTACAGTTGTAAAAACGCGACATTTTATAGAGCCTTCAACGTGCAATTGATAAAAAGTTGAAATCCCTGAACTACCCTTCAAAACAAAACCAGGTTTTTTTTTCATTTGAGCGTGTGCACACATTTTCAAATGTGTGAATGTACAGAGATTACTGCAAAGTGCAGGTCACTGTCTTTTTGTTTTTTAAGGAAAACTTAATAAACACCATTTCTATCTTAAAGGTCACGCCTAGTGATTCAGATTTCTCCCTCTGAACCTGGCTTCCCTGGCAATCCGCGGATCGCATTTTACAAAATGACTTAATAAACGCGTTCCTGCAAAAGTAAGTCATTAAGCAAAAAGAAGCACAAATAAGTGAAATGAAAATGTTCCAAGTAATGGAGGAGTTAAATTAACCAGAAATAGGGCAATGTGTTTTCGGGCAGCCACACAGGAAAGCGAGCATCTGCGAAAGCCCTGGGGAGGGTGCGAGGCCCCAGAGACCAGTCGGGTCAGCAGCGACAGGGGGATCAGGGGTGGCGGCTGCAGCCGGGAAGGCAGCTCTGAGTGCAGACCCCCAGGTGCCGTCACATTTACACCCCAGCATGTGCCACACAGAGGTCGCCCCCCCCATACTAGTGCACGCGCGCGCACACACACACACACATATTCACATACACATACACATACACACACACACACACACAGATCTGCATTGGGTGCCCACCTGCCGCAACCTCAGTTCCATGACTCCCGAAGCCCCCGCGCAGCCCCGCCCCGAGGCTGCCACACAGCACAGGTGCCCCCATCCCAGGGGGCTCGCCAAGGGTGCCCCATCCCAGAGGACCTGGCCAAGGGTGCACCCATCCCAGAGGACCTGGCCAAGGGTGCCCCATCCCAGAGGACCTGGCCAAGGGTGCCCCATCCCAGAGGACCTGGCCAAGGGTGCACCCATCCCAGAGGACCTGGCCAAGGGTGCACCCATCCCAGAGGACCTGGCCAAGGGTGCCCCATCCCAGAGGACCTGGCCAAGGGTGCCCCATCCCAGAGGACCTGGCCAAGGGTGCACCCATCCCAGAGGACCTGGCCAAGGGTGCCCCATCCCAGAGGACCTGGCCAAGGGTGCCCCATCCCAGAGGACCTGGCCAAGGGTGCACCCATCCCAGAGGACCTGGCCAAGGGTGCCCCATCCCAGAGGACCTGGCCAAGGGTGCCCCATCCCAGAGGACCTGGCCAAGGGTGCACCCATCACAGAGGACCTGGCCAAGGGTGCCCCATCCCAGGGGGCTCGCCAAGGGTGCCCCATCCCAGAGGACCTGGCCAAGGGTGCCCCATCCCAGAGGACCTGGCCAAGGGTGCACCCATCCCAGGGGGCTCGCCAAGGGTGCCCCATCCCAGGGGGCTCGCCAAGGGTGCCCCATCCCAGAGGACCTGGCCAAGGGTGCACCCATCCCAGGGGGCTCGCCAAGGGTGCCCCATCCCAGGGGGCTCGCCAAGGGTGCCCCATCCCAGAGGACCTGGCCAAGGGTGCCCCATCCCAGGGGGCTCGCCAAGGGTGCCCCATCCCAGGAGGCTCGCCAAGGGGACGCGGCCAGGCAGTCCCCCCGCCCTGGGTGGCGCACTCCTGGTCCTTCCCGACCACTCACCTGGCGGAAGGGCTGCTCACCTGCTCAGGCTGCGCCGGCTTGTCCAGGGCCGGGTACAGGGCAGAGCTGGTGCCCAGCCCCCACCCCCCTGCCCAGGGGTCCTGGCACCCGCGGGTCCCACTGAAGCCGGCGCAGGGGGAGGGGCCGGTGCCGAAGTTCGCCGTCGGGGTGCGACCCCCGCTGGGGGCGCGGGGCAGCCGGGGGCGGAGGGGGTGCCGGCCCGGGAGCTGGGAGCGCGGCGTCGCCACTCACCGCCGCTCAGCCGCCCCGGACCCGCTGCGCTCGGCCGGCTCCGCTCCGCCTGCTGGGAGCCCTCGGGCGGCGGGCGGCGCTCCCGACCCCGACCCCGACCCCGCGCCCTCTTGACCCCGAACCCCGCCCGACCCCGCGCCCGCCCGGGAGGCGCGGACCCCGACGTCCTGGCCCCGACCCCGCGCCCCGCCCGACCCCGCCTTGACCCCGAACCCCGCCCGACCCTGCGCCCCCTCCCCGCGCCCGCCCGACCCCGAGCCCCCCGCCCGCTCGCCTGCCTTGCTCCCCGCGCCCCGCGCCCGTCTGGACCCCCGCCCGCCCGACCCCGCGCCCGCCTACCTTGCGCCAGCGCCCGGAGCAAGTGCAGCTGCAGCGCCAGGAGCGCCCACCATCCGCGCCGCCGGCCCGCGATCAACTTTGTCGCCGGCCGCCCGCCGCGCTCCCCCGCGTCCTCTTCGCGGCTCTCGGGCGCCTCCCGGGCTCCGCGGGGCCGCCGCCGCCGCTCGGGGCCGGGCAGGGACCCCCGCGGCCGCCCCGGGCCCGCCGCGCCGCCGCCCGCCGCCCGCCGCGCGCCCCGGGCCATGCTGAGCGGCCGCCGCCCGGCCCGGCCTCGGCCCCGCGCGGGACGGAGGGAGGCGGCTCCCGCGCGCCACGGGCTCCAGGTGCGGCGGGCGCGGAGGGCGCGGCGGGGAGAAGTTGTCCGCCCGAGAGTCCTGTCGCGCCGCCCCCGGCGCCCCCGCGGCCAGAGCGCCCGGGCCGCGCGGCGTCTGGCGAAGGGTCCGCGGGCTGAGGAGCCGCCGCCCCCGCCCGGCGCCGAGGAGAAAGTGCGCCCGCCCGCGCCGCGCTCGCCCGGCCGCCGCTCCTCATTCACAGCGCGGCCGGCCGCCCCGCCCCCCGCGCCCGCCGCCGCCGCCGATTGGCCGAGGGGCGGTGGCTCGCGCGCCCGCCCCGCCCCCTCGCGCTCGCCAGGTTTCAAACGCGCCGCGCCCGCCCGCCTGGAATTTCGCGCCGGCCCCGCGCTCGGCTCCGCGGCTTCCCGCGCCGGCTGCGCCCCCTAGGGACGCGGGGCGGGCACTGCAGGCGGCGCCGACTCCGCGCGTCCTCGGGCGCCCGGGCGCTGGGCGCGGGGCGCGGGGCTCCAGCCGGTGTCCGCCTCGCCCGGCCCGTGCGGTGCGGGCGCCCAGGTGGCCCGGTGCCCGTGCAGCGGAGGGCGGGCTCGGCGGGCGGGTCAGGGGCTGGGCTCGTGGGCGCGCCCCTCCCGGCGCTGGCAGCCGCCCTCCCCGCCGCCCCGCTGCCAGCCGCGGGCTCCGGGTGCGGGAGGTCACACTCCAAGTTGCCGCGCTGGCAAACGAGAAGCGCGCGCGCACTCGGGGTCGGTGCCCAGCCCCGGGCTCCGCGGGGCAGCCCCGCACCGGTTGGGAGGCGTGGACGCCGGACTTAGGGGCGTCCAAGGTCACGGGGGCCTGCGGGGCCGCGGCGCTGCCCACACGGATGGGCGGCCTCCCAGGGGCGGGGGTCCCCGGGCGGCGGGAGGGCGGCTGGGCAGGGCAGCACGCGGTGAGCATTGGCGAGTTGCGGGGGGACGGAGCGCCCTGGGGCCGGGAGGCCAGCATGTCCGTGGGCGGCGGCGGGAAGGTGACCCCGGTCTGCTGCCGGCAGTTGTGCGGGAGGAGCCGGGGGAGTGGGAGGACGGAGACGTGTCCGTGGTGACAGGCGAGGCGGGGCGTGCGCCTGGCGGGCGGGGTGCGGGCTCCCCCGGAGCGCGGGGTGCGGGTGGTGGTTACCCTGTTATTGCCCCAGACAAGGAGGGCCCTGGAGAGGGGGGCGGCCGTAGGCTCCTGGTGCAACAGCTCCAGAATCCGGCGCGCCTACTGTGTGCTGCCGACCTTATCCAAGGCTTCCTGACCATGGCCACGTGAAGGGAAGATGGGGAAACCGAGGCCCGAGGAGGCAGCCACGGGGAGGTAGGTTCTGAACTGGACCCCTGGCCGTTCTCTCTGCCTCCCCCCCCACACACACACACACACACAACCGCTATACAAGGGGCGGGGGGCAGAAAATGGGAAACAACCCCGAGGCCACACTGGAACCTACTGAGGGCTCCAGCACTGGGGTGCCCGGGCCACAGCACAGAGAGCCCTGTGGGCCTCGCAGTCCTGAGGGCGCGGGGAGGGGGGGGTCCTACTGTACTTTCCCTACAGCAGCTCTGGGCCTCTTCTCACCTGCCGGGCTGGGTGACCTGGGAGCCCCGATGGGAACTAAGCAGGACCCACTGAGCGTTTCCCGTGGACCGGTGTGGGCAGTGGTCATCGCCCGGATCCCCACCACTCCCTGTGCCAGGTGCTGTCGCTGGTGCAGATGGGGAAACTGAGGCCCAGAGGCCAAGTGGCTTCCCCTTGAGCACCTCACTTTGCTCGGGGTGGGGATGGGGGTGGGGGTCCGGGCGGGTGGTGCAGAGGGCTCAGCTGCATTCTAGTTGCGAAATCTGGGCAAATCGCTGACTAAGTTCCTGTGCGGAGTTGGGAAGAATTCCCTGGCACAGGGCTGTCGCGAGGGAGTGGGGCCGTTCACACGCAGTCACCGCTGTTTCCCTGGTGCTGCCCCAGCCAGCCTTGCTGGGCACACGTTTAACCTTCTCCTTTCGAATAGAAATCCGTGCCCCTTGCTTCCCTGGCACATCTCCAGCCAGGCCCGTGCCCTTGCAGCATTGGCATGACCACGGCTCAGGCTGCAGCACAGGCATCGGGCAACCCCAGGCATGTGTGTGACTCAACAAGCCCACTCCCGACCTTCCGGAGCCTCCTGCTGCTGTTGATTTGTGTCCGGGGCGGCTCCGTGGAGACTTGCCTGGGAGCTGGAGAGCCGAGCCCACGTGTGTCTTAGTTGCAGGAACGTCCTCCTGCCTGGAGAGGCCTGGAGACGCTTCTGGAACTTCTCATTCCAGGATGGGCGGGTAAGGGAGCCTGTGATGGTCTCATGCTACAGTTGAAGGAACTCAGCCCGGAGCCCGTGAATGCCAGAGCCGGGAGCCGGCTCCTCTGAGTCTGATTCCAAGACTCTCCCCCCCCTCCCCCCCCAGACCATGTAGCTTTTTTCATGACCCGTTATATTACTGTCTTAGGAGGTGTGTGTCAACTGTAGCGATTCTTTCGCAAAAAAAAGAACACAGAGAAACCCCTTTACAATGCTGGAGAAGGGAGATGGTGCAGCGTTAATCTCTCAATTTAATTGTCTCCACGAAGTGGAGGAGTGACGCTCCGTGCTCCCACACCCGCCTGTACGGCCTCAGGCGTGGGGTCTAAAAGGCCATGTGGCAGGGGAGTCACTCCATGAACGCGGACTTACTTTTCACTCAGAAATGAACTGTGGCTCTCTCCTTCCCAGGCCAGGTTAGGGGTTTCCCTGCTGACTAAAGAGGGAGAGAAAAAAAACAGTTTTCAGAATAAAATGACCATTTAAGATGAGTCAGTACAGTCAGCCAGACCCTGCGTGTTACCCCTTGTCACCATGTGAAGTCGCCGCCCCAGTGTCCGTGGGAGGACAGACCCCGCGGGAGCTGGTTGAAATCAGACTCTGCATTTCTTTTTCTTTCCCCTTAATATATGTTTTGATTTTTAGAGAAAGGAAGGAGAGGGAGAGAGAGAAACACTGATGTGAGACATCACTCGGTTGCCTCCGGCACACATCCGGGCTAGGGATCGAACCCACAACCCTGACGGAATCAAACCGGTGGCCTTTCAGTTCACAGGTCAACGTTCAACCAACCGAGCCGCCCTGGCCAGGGCCAGAAACATCAATGATGAGAGGGAATAAAGGATCGGCCGCCTCCCACAAGCTCCCCACTGGGGATGGAGCCCGAAACCCAGGCACGTGCCCCGACCGGGAATCAAACCATGACCTCCCGGTTCCTAGGTCGATGCTCAGCCACGGAGCCACGCCGGCCGGGCCCGAATCTACATTTCAACAAGACTCCAGCTGATTCACACATAAGGTTTGAGAACCACTCCAGCTCTCTTAGGGTCTCAACAAACACGGCGGATAGAGCTCTCCTTTCTGTTCTCGTCTTCCTCTCTTTCTTCCTCTTCTCCTTCATTCTCTCTTTCTCCTCCCTCTTCTTTTGCCCTGAATGAGCCATGATGTAAAAGGGAAACCTTTTAAAATAGAATTATGATTTTTTTATTTGAAAAGAAAAATATTTAACTTACTTTCTAGAACATCAATAAAACTCAACGGTATACAAATTGAAAACCAAAGATAGCCTATGGTGCAGCGGGGGAGGAGGGGTGTTAAAAGAAACAAGCGCCCTAGCTGGTGTGGCTCAGTGGATAGAGCATCGGCCTACGGACTGAAGGGTCCCAGGTTCATTTCCGGTCAAGGGCACAGGCCCAGGTTGTGGGCTCACTCCCCAGTGTGGGGCGTGCAGGAGGCAGCTGACCAATGATTCTCTCTCATCATTGGTGTTTCTATCTCTCTCCCTCTCCCTTTCTCTCTGAAATCGATAAAAATATTTTTTTTAAAAAAAGAGAGAAACAAGCAACAAAATCAAGAAGGTCCCATTGGCCTCTTTATATAAATAGCTTTTACAAATAAGACTAGATGAGCTATCCCTATTAAAAGATGAGCAAAGGACACGAATAGGCAAGTCTCAGAGAAATAAAGGGAAAAAAGTGTTTGAGGGGTGCCCAGTCAAAGGAAGTGACCCAAGAAATGAAAAATTACAGTAAATGGGCTTATGAAAATGTTACAGGACTGACCATGGCAAGTGCTGGTGAGGGTCTGTGGAAATGGGCACTCGCGTTATTGGTGGAAATATGAGCAGCCTTTCTGGAGAGGGGCCTGCAAGGCATAGCAAACTGCAAACACGGTGTCGTAGCTCCAGCACCCGCCTGGCAAACGCACAGAGATCATGGCTACGGCTGCCCACTGCGGCATCGCTGGTAACAGCAACAGAATGGGCGACGGCCTACAGGCCACCCAGGAAGGCGAATGCTGGGGGGAGAATGACGGGGCGCTAGGAGCACCGGTGCAGAAGCGCCCCCTATGCTCGGGCAGTGTTTTCTCCCGCAGGCCGGGGGTTTGCAGAACAGCCCTTTCATGTCGGCTTTACTTCCTCCTGAGGGAGGGATGCCCACTTTCACAGGGTCCCCCAGGGCCATGGGATTCCACGCTTCCCTGTACTTTTAAAAGGTTCACATGTGGAGATGTGTTTTATAATCCAAAATAAACTAACAGGACTTACTCTCACCAAGCAGGTGGCGATGAGCCTCGCCTGCTTCTCCCCGGGGGTTCGCAGTGGTTCTTCTGAGGAAAACATTCCCCGATCCTATTAGAGGCCAAGTTACAAGGTGAAGTTGTCTGCACGGGGGACTTGTGCCCTCCCGCGTGCTAATCCAGGCAATGATCCCGTGGGGCGGGCCGGGGGGGAGGGGGGGGCGCGGTTCTTACATCTGGTTTCTGTGCCCTCTGATGAGAAGTCTACCCTCTGGATGCCCAGTAGCTCCCTCTAAAACCCCTGCCAGCTGCTAATCCCAGCCTCAGCCTCACCTTTGTCTGGTTGCCTGGCAACCCATTAAGGAGCAAGCAGGTGCTGCCTTTGATCCCGATGGGGTGTGAGCTTTGGTTACCTTAGCGCCCACCTGAGGTCTCTTATAGAAGCTAAACTCCCCTGAATGCTCTTAAGGGAGCAAAGCAGAAGAGAGGCTCCAGAAATTACCCACCCCAGGCACTCGGGCCAAGCCCCCTCCCCCCCCACCCCCCACCCCCACCTTCCAGGCTGCTTCAAGCTGCATGAAGCAGAAGTCCTTACAGCTGGCCCCGGACCAGCATTATCAGCGTCACCTGACCAGAA